AATTCCCCACCGTGGCATGGTTTCAGGGAATTTACGAGCAAACGATGCATTAAAAATAATGCTCTTCAGGAATTTGTGTAGCGGTCCCCGTTTGTCTTCTGACATTTCCGCGCCTTCGTCACTCGTGCAGCCTGACTTTCGGTCAATGGTGCCTCGAAGAAAGTACGGCAACTCCTGCGGTTGCGTGGCATCCAAGTGAACGTCGTGCATCCATTGCGGGAACAACAAAAACCGCGTCGGGCCAACAGAGTGGGGCGGAAGGAAATATCCCCCAAAGTAAGGGCGGCGCACATTCGTCACGTCATGTAATTTGCCAGCAGCCTCAATCTCCATTGCAAGACGGGTTTGATTTCTTTTACGCACCGCCTCAGTGAAGATATGGCGCGAGGGCTCCGCTAGCATTTTATCCTCGCGTATACCCAATGCCCTTCTCGAATGGGGATCCTGCACACTAACAATAAATTCACCGTCCTTGCCGGTGGCGTTGCACTCCTCTATGCGCACCTCCACTTTGTTCAATTGGGTGTTGTCCGTCCGCGGCGAGGTTGCCTCGTAAACTGGCGAACGTTGAGAGAAGTGTGCCCATCGATGCGTGGCGCAAGCAGCCAAGTCATTTTCCATCCTTGAAAGAAGTATGTCAGTGTCTTCTACAGTGTTTTTTTGTTGCGTTACGCCAATGTTACCTTCACGAAAGTAGCGGCCCTTGAGCCAATGCATACATGCATCATCGTGGCCAACTTTTGAGGTGTGTAACTCAAAGTGCGCCACAATTGGCATGCTTGATGCATCCCTTGCGACCGTCATGTGTGCTTCCTTCCGCCCCAGGCCAGTGGTAAATCCCCTTCTCTTCTGGCACCTGCAATGACACAAAGAAATGAATTAAAATAATAATAATAATAATAAAATTCAAAAGATAAAAACACACAAAAAAAATAATATTTAATAATAATAATAATAATAAAGAGAAGTTGAATTAATGAATAAAAAAAATAATTTAAAAAAAAAAACCAGCAGCAACAAAATGGGAGTAAATGGGGGGAGAAAAAAGGACACAGAGACAAAAGGAGGGTATCATGTTTCCAGTGCACCTTCGGTTTAGTTTACCACATCGACCCAAACACAGTGAGGAAACACAGAGCAGAAAAGATGTCGTTACAATCCCACCATCCCAACCACCGCGCCCCCTTTCTTTTTTTTCGTTGCTGCTGTTGTTTTATTTATTTTTTTTGTTTTTTCACTACTCTCTCTCCCATCCTTTCCTTCAAAAATCCCTGCGCTAAGATGCAGTCGCGGGCACCGCTCCATCCGACGCCGCTCCACCGGCAACTGCAGTATGAAATAAAAGACGCACATACGGAGGTCTGAAGACTCCCCCGCATCCCTTTTTTAATGCGTCTATAAATAAATATATTTGTGGTTATTGCCGTTGATAAATCATTACCAGTTCTTTCCCCCCCCCCCCCCCCCCCTTCTTTTCGCTTTTGTGTGTGTTCTCGTGGGTGCCGCCTCGTTTGTGCGCATAAAGGCGATTGTGAGGGGTGGGAAAGACAATCGCGATTACGGCACATCTCCACCGCCTACGCCGTCGCAACGACAGCCTGCTGCTCGACGGTCTTCAGCAATTCACTCATCCTAAGCCGCCGTGCCTTTTCCTCAATGAAGCGCCACACCACAGGCGACTCCTTCACCCGCTTCAAAGGGGTTTCCTGCACCAACTCCACAAACTTTAAGAGATCCTCCTTCGTAAGCAGCAGCTCCCGGGGAGGACGCAGAACCATCGTGTTATCCTCCGTGATGACCTCCTCGCCGCTGTCGC